CTGAACGCCCCAGGGCTGGGGAGGCACGTGGAGGTCTGGGGCACCGTGGCAGCTTCATGCCTTCCCCATCCAGTGCAGCCACCGCATCAGTGGCTGCTCTGCTGAAGAAGCCAAAGAAGCGGCCTGGCTGTGCCACGGGGAAGGTGCAGCAGGGACAGCTCCTGTGGCTGTGGGCCGGGTGGGAGCTGGGCAGAGCTCTCTGCGGAAGCAAGTCCTGGGGGCTTTGTGCTCTGGGAGAGGTGGGCCCCAGGGGCATGTGGCCCCGTGCCTGGAAGGGGTGGTGTCTGGCAGCAGCGCAGCTGATCTGTGGCTGGAAACACCGGGCACGGCTGTGGGGAGACCTTCTCTCACCTGCGTGTTCGGGGGTCTGGGGCTGGGAGAGCACTGCCAGCTCGCAGGCCAGCGGCTCAGCAAGGACATGGGAGTGTGGAAGAGGTTCAAAGGAAATCCATGGGGCAGCTGGGGGTGCTGGACGCCCCGTGAGCCCATTCCCACCAGCTCTGAGGAGACGGAAGGGTGAGCTGCTCACAGTTTGCGTGTGCTTTGCTTGGGGAAGAGGAATTTGAGTTCCTTGATGGAGCAGACAGAGATGTAACAAGATCCAGTGGCTCTAAGATGATGTCAGGCAAATCGCGACTTGGAGTAAGGTGCAAAGTCTGAGCGCTGCCATTAACTGTCCGTGGAATATTTTTATGAGGATTGGGATGGATGTTTCTAGAGCTCCTCAGGCACTTCTGGAATGAATTCTGGGTGCTTTTCCACTATGGGACCTCCTCTACCCCACATTAGGTTGGAGGTGACACTAAATGCAGAACTGATTGCTTTGGACTCCAGTAAATCCATTTGCTGCAGTGCCGCGTGGTGAGTTATTAGTTAAGATGGAGATAAGTACAGGAATCATAAAAGATTACTGGAGGAGTTCCCCAGTGGCTGGTCCCGGGCCCAGTTTTCATTAATGACCTTGGCACGCCGAAATGGATGTGCTAATGAAATTGGCTGCTTTTCCAAAGTTGGGAGGCATTGTCAATATAGGGGAGGGCTGGGATATCCTATAGGGGGAGGTAGGCAATTCTGATGGCTGAGACAGTAGAAATGGGGTGGAATGCAACAGTACAAATTGCGAGGTTAAGTTGTTAATGGTTGAGCGCAGACTTTTCTGTTACGGGTTGACGGTGGGGACTTACCGCTTGGAAATAGTGGCAGAGAAGAAGGATGTAGGTGTGGTGCCGGTTCCAGTATTGGGCCACTCACATTCTGCTCTGAGCATTGAGAAGTGGTGGGGAAGCTCCATGGTCCAATGTGTGCTGGAACCACCGCTGGTGGCTCCAAGCAGCGGTCGCTAACAAGTTGCACATCTTGGACATGCTGGAATCCAGCTGGGCTGAGGGGGACCCTGATGGGGCTACTGAGCATGTGAGTATCGTAGGAAATATTTCACACTTGGCAACCCTGGCTGGGGTTTGACAGTCTGAGCTGGGGCTGATGTAACACGAACAGCGTCTGTTCCTGTGGAGATCAGGACAGGCAAATGCATGGACCCTTTCTGCCTATCAAAGCCCCTTCCACCTTCCAGAGGGAGGAACGTCTTGTTTGAAGCTTTGCAATTGTTAGGGAATTTTGTCCTGGAACCCACACAAATAGCAGAATGTTTGCAGTTGTATTCCTCTTCCCAAAACCCTTAGAGATGGGGCAAACACTTTGAAGTGTGTGGATAAAAAAAAAAAAAAAATGCAGAAAAATCAAAGTGAGGTGGTTGGAGCTGTCAGTGCGCTGGTGGTGCGGAGCAGGCCACGGCCGCAGTCTTTGCTGAGCACTTTGCTTCACCATGGAAGTTTAATGTTTTCAATGAATTGGCCCATGTCGAAATCGGGAGCTTGGCTGGCCGCCTGAGGCAAGGACTGGGTGAGGAAGTAAGGCGCAGCGCTGTGTCACTGGTTGCTACTGGAATTGCCCCGCATCCCATAAATCCTACTGCTGCCAGAGAGCTGCTTAACAAAACCTTTGGCCGCTCTGAATAAGGTGGTCATTGTTCTCTCCCACAGTAGTGCTGCCATGTGGGCTTTCCACCATAGCTGTAGCTTTAACTACGCATGTGTGCCCTCGCTCTAAAGGTGGTCTAGGACCAGCAGCATGTGGGAGTGCTTGAGCGTGATTGCTTTCCCAGACTCTCCTGGCTTTCTCTTGGGTGGAAGGAGAGGACCAGACACAAGCTCTATTCATCGGTCCAGTCAAGGAGTAATCAACAGCAAACAGCACTAAGTGAGGGACTCTGCGTGATCGGGTTTGGGTTGAAACCAGATGGAGAGAGTCCATGCTTAGGTGTGAGAACTTGTCCGTGAAAGGAATGCTTGCGTAGTTCTTACTTGCTGTTCAGACGAGAGGGGGTGGCAGCAGGGTGATTTATAGGGAGGACAAAACTGAACAAGCAAGGCAGACTGAGAGCTGCGAATACACCCGAAACCGTACGCTGGGAAAGAGAAACCCTGGCACCATGGACCTGAACTGGACAGGAAGCAAGCACAGAAAATGGCTTTAGGTAGCTACATCAGCACCAGATGTTTGTCCTGTTAACTGTCTCCTCCTCAGCTGAGTGGGGCTGCTCTAGGCCCAGGATCAAATGCTGCCTGTGGTGTCACCAGTAGGGCAGAGGAGAATTAGGCTGTTCAGAAAAGGTGAACCCAACGTTTAAAGCAAGCAAGATTTGTTTTAGCCACAACATGAAAAGATGGATGAAAACTTTCTCCCCTGTTGCTCTCCCCAAGTAGGCAAAAATGTGTCAAGGTGGGTGACAATCCCCACTCGGATGGGTGGAGGAGTCCCAGAGGGACTCAAGGCAGGACAGATTTTAGGTTTCATTCTTCCTGCACGTCTGCTCTTCTCTCTCATCAAGCATCTCTGAAGTACGAAGTCAAAGTTCTGAGGCAAGGCTCAATTCCCCAACTCCTTAAATATTTTCTGTCCTGCACGTGGACCCCACCCTCCTTCCAGTGGCCTGAGACTCATGTCACTTGGGTGGGCAACAAAGCAGCACAGCATATCTTGGGAGCGGCTGGGACATGCTCGTGGCGTGGTGCCTGGGATGAGGACCAGGGGGTGATCATGAGAAGGGACTTGGGGGGGTCAATTCAAGACAAGGGAACCCATGGGTCCTGCTGACTTGCATCTCGGGCAGCACCCTGTATTGTTCCTACCCTGCTCCTGGTAGCAAGACCCCACCAGCTATCTGTTTGGGGCCACAGCTGGCAATGCCCTCCTACCCAAGGGCTCCCACCCCAGGGATGCCCTCCTGCTTTAGCAGACGTTGCTCTAGATAGTATCACGATGCTCTTAGGATGCTCTTTTTGTGATCGAGAAGGTCAGCTGTAGGCGTACACTTGTACTCGGACATCCTACAGCAGCCACTGCAGCTTGGGGGCTGCTGTCCCCTCTGTCTCCTGGTATCTGCCGTAGCTGCACTGCTGCGGCAGCTCTTGGGAGGAGTGGATGGGAAATGCGGGGCTGTATTCCCATGGGCCTGGTGGTGAAGCATAGGGCTAGGTGAAAACTGCCCTCTCTACCTGATGGATACTTGACTCTCTAATTAAAAGAGAACAACAAAGTGTCTGGAAGATCATGATTTCATAGAGCCCAAGCAGCCTGGCTTCAAAAAAGGAAAATCACGTCTCACTTACTGAATTCCTTGAACATGTCAAGGTTTGTAAAGAGAGATAATATCTTTTATTAGACCAACTGATACAGCTGGAAAAAACAGACAAGCTTTCAGGCACGGAAACACTTCTTGTATGTTTTTTCCAGCTATATCAGTTGGTCTAATAAAAAAGTTATTACCTCTGCCCACAAATCTTATTTCACTTAATCCTTAGATCATCACAGCCACAGCACAACTACTTGAAAATGTCCATAAGGAATGGAAAAAGGGAGAATTATTTGACACAATTTATTCAGACTTCTTAAAGTTCTTCAGCCAGACCATGAGCTTCTACTAAAGCTAAGCAGGTCTGGAGTGAGATGTGGTGCCTTCAGTTAAAACTATTCCTGGAAGGCGTAAAATTTTAGGGTCACACAGTCAATTTTCATCACGGCAAAATGTTAATGGTGTAGTTCATGGCGTGGTACAGTCCTGGACTGTAGCAGCAGAATAAGCAGATGACAATTATTTAGGCTAATGAGGATGGGTGAAGATTATGAGGAATGTCAGAGATACTAGAAAAATACAGGCAAATGGACAAAGCACTGGAGAACGGAATGTTTATTTAACATGTGGAGCTAAAACCATTAATCTATACATCTGGCCAGCCAAGAAAGGGACCAGGGGTCGTTTTGTGCAGCTCGGTGGAAATCTCGGCACAGCTTACGCTTGAGAGGCATGTGTGTAATGATGGTTGCGCTTATATTTGATCCTTGGGACTGCCTCCACCGAGCGCTCTGGGGACCGGCTACCCTGTCTGGAAAGCAGTGTTAAGAGACCTAGAGAGAATTGGGAAGAGCATCAGAAGCGATCAGGAGACTTGGCAAAACCCTGCGCGAGGAGAGAGATCTGCAAGGCTGGGATTATCTGCCTCAGCGGGAACGTAAAAAAGCATATAGAGGAATGCGCTGGAGAAGACAGCGTGGCAGGTTGCGTTTAACCTGCCCCCACTGCACGCGAAATTAAAAACTGCTAAAAGAGTGCTTACATGACGTATCGTGCCGAGGAACTGCAGCACCGCTGTCACCGCTAAGTCAGGCCAAGATTTTAAGGTTGCTAAGGGGGCTGGGTATTTATATGGCTACCAGGAGCACCCAGCGTTTGGCAGGAACACCCAGCCCGCCTTGAGCCCACTCTTTACGAGGAGCGCGGCCTGCCGGCTGCCGCCGCCTCCGTGCCCAGG